CACACACACACACACACACACACACACACACACACACATTATATAATATACACATATAAATACACAAAATACTCACACACATACACACACAGATAGATACACAAAATACACTCACATACACACACAGATAGATACACAAAATACACTCACATACACACACAGATAGATACACAAAATACACTCACATACACACACAGATAGATACACAAAATACACACACACACACATGACATACACACACAGATAAATACACATATACACAAATACACACACACATGCATACACACTTTTGCTCAAAACTTTGTGCAGGTATGGTGCGGCTATTGGCTTGCTGCTCATCGGTTTGGGCACTGGGGGAATCAAACCCTGTGTGTGCACTTTTGGAGGGGACCAGTTTGATGCCAGCCAGGTACGGGGCAAATGTCATGCGACTTATTTCGAATTATTGCTTTGCCAAAAAATGTGTAGCCATTGATGTAGTTTCCTTGCTTATAGAGAGGAGATGGCTTAACATGTGTTTGCTGTTAATTCTATTTTTTTTAAAAGAAAAAAGTAGTAATGACAAATAACAACATCAAAGCAGAAATCCAAGATTTTCAATAAGAAATTAACAAAATGTATGTTGCTGTTTGTAAATATTTTTGTCCTTTAACCCTCTTGACTTGCTTTTAGGTATAATAGCCCAATGCTTTTGGGTAAAAATGTTACGTGGATGTGGTGTCAGAGTCTGGTAGTATTTTTCTTTTTTTACTGGAAAGTCTTCTTTGCTTTTATGCAACATTTATACTGGCTAGCATTTTTTTGAAAATTTGATTTGTTCATTTGTTTATTCTAGAGCAAGGAACAGCAGACGTTTTTCTCTGCTTTCTACTTCATGATCAACCTAGGCAGTATGCTGTCCACCTTCTTCACACCCATGCTTCGAGGTGAGAGGTTCTGCTCTTGCTCAATACTCTTTGGTGTGTGAGTGTGTGTGTGTGTGTGTGTGTGTGTGTGTGTTTGTTTGGTAAGTCTACATAAGGTCATAATAGCGCACTCTTATTGTTTAAATATAAGGTTCTTTTTTTTAACATGTCTGAGTGTGTAGTTTGACTCCAGGTTCATATCAGCTGGGTTAATTAATTAATTAATTTTTTTTGTTTTGGGGGGGGGTGTATCTGTGTGTGTGTGTGTGTGTGTGTGTGTGTGCGTGCGTGCTTACATGTTCGTGTTTGTGTGGGTGTGTGTGTGTGTGTGTGTGTGTATCTGTGAATCAAAATAAATTTGTTTTACTGCAACTTAACCTCGACATGCACATTCAAACTATGTATAAACAATTCCAGCTGATGTCCACTGCGTTGAAAACAGTTGCTATCCCTTGGCTTTTGGAGTTCCTGCCTTACTCATGCTGGCATCAGTGGGTGAGGCCTGTTCATATCTTAACTTTGAAAGAATTTCTAAAATGTTTAATAAAATTCTTATTTAGTACAATAATCAGCCATGCCCTATTTCTGACATCCCTTTTTTAGAGGGATAGAAGATCCAAAATTTTTGTCACCTCCTAGGACGGTCTGAGGAAGATTTCAACCCCCCCTCCAAAAACAAAAACAAAAAAAAACCCAACCCCAAAATAAACAACCAACAACACAATCCAGATTAGTCGTACCCTTCATCAGCACCATCATTTTCTTCATCATCATCATCATCGTCATCATCACAATCATTGCCCTGTCTTTTGTGTGTCTCTCAAGATTTGTTCAGAAATTTCTTAGTTCTATTTTAGGACTTCCATTTTTTAGCACAATTTTGCAGTTCATACGCACTGACCAACATCCAGAAACCCTTTGTGAAATGTCCTTGGTGGTACTCTTCATCATATTTGACCCGTCACTTTAAAAGCTGACAGACTGGTTGCTTCAGCCACCAGTCTTCAGATCTTTATATTTTTGGGCATCACCATGAAGTGTCAGATCTGAAGCAGACATAGGCAATCATGGCTCCCCATTCACTTCTCTGCTCTAATGCTATTTCTTCTATATTTTTAAAGATTGTTTCGCTGTATTTGTTAAAGAGGTATGATGACAAAACATATCCTTTCCTTACTCCCCTTTTGATCTGCTTATATTTGCCATACTCCTTAAATTCATAACAGCAGCATTCTTAAAATCCTTTCTTTGTCCAACTCTTCTAAGATTTTGCATGCTTCGTTCTTCATGTCTAACTTTATTAAAAAACCTTTGGGCAATCAACAATAAGGCATAAATACTGATCTTTTCTGTGTTTGAGTTCATCTTTCCATTAACATTGCTACGTACTTTATAGTTATTTATAATGGGTTGTTATGGAAATCTTTTCAGGTGGTTTAATTAACGTATATTTTGCATCTTAATTGTACATTTGTTTGGGACTTAACATTGACATATTTTTTGGGTATTGAGAACATCTTCTCTGCAGGCTATGTCCTATTGTTGTTTAGTCATCAATGTATTCTGTGCTTACGCATGAACATAGTTCTCAAGGAAACTGCCTGTCATGCCTTCAGGGGTTGCCAGTTGACTCGTTTATTAAACCCAAAAGCTGACATTCATACACCATAGGCTAGTAGCAAGAGAGCTTTTAATATTTTTATCTCTTTCCTCTTTCAGTCATTTTTTTCCTGGGCCGGAAACATTACAAGCACATTCCTCCAACTGAGAACGTTTACGGGCGAGTCTTTCACTGTGTTAAGGTCAGGAATTCTATTTTTTTACCTCCTTCACAGACAATAACTTTTTGATTTTTTTCAGATGGTCTATGAACAAATTCTTCACTACCTCTTCAGCATCAAATAGTTTGTTGGGGGTTTTTTTGAAATTTTTATAGGATGTACAAGACTTGGGTGCAAACGTTTGATTTTGAAAAAGGACCTTGTTACTGTAGAGTTTCTTAAGGAAGGTTTTTTCACATACAATGCAGACTAATAGGTTTTATCAATTATTTTTTTCAAATGCTTTTAGAAGTCCTGTTGCCAGATGAAGAATTGCCCTCCATAATATTTTTCTGCATTATGATACAGTGGAATGTGTACTTATTCAGTCAGTCGTGTTTGTGAATATGATCGGATCAGGTCAGGAAGTGAGACTTATGCAAGGCGTGTACTCCAAAACAGTTGTTCCACAGTCTCCAAAACAATTGGTCCACAGTTATTACTGTTTACTTTCAGTATGGTCTACACATGCGCCTGAAGCATGGGAAATCAGGGAGCAAGGATGGCCAGTGGTTGGACCATGCCGCAGACAGATATGAGGTGAGAGGCGTATCACTCGTATTCAACACAAAATGAATAATGATTTACACAATCAGCTACAAGTTTGCAATAGTTTGAACTAGACCAATATCAGCAACTACTAGAGTAGAAAACGCAACATTATCAAGTGTAGAGTAATTATATCTAAAAATCTAAACTATCAAGATGATAAGCTTAGGTCTTTACAAATGTGCAGTGCTTGGCAACCTTTTCATTTCTAGCACCCACTTTTGCCACCTGCAAGAAAATAAAGGTTTCATATCTCCCAACTACTTGTTGTTGAAAATGGGGCTTCAATCAGATAATACTTGTAAAAACTGGGTGATCCCCACCGTTCACGAAACTTTCCAAACGACCCACTAGTGGGTGATATCGCCAAGGTTGGCAAGCACTGGTCTAAACAATCTAATAAAGATGATAAGCTTAGGCCTGTGCATATGAATCATGTAAATTGCTGTTTTTTTAATCTAAATTTTTACCATAAAATTTTTACCTAACCATAGAATAAAAACCTAGATATGCTGTGAATTGTCCTGGAAACAATTAATTTGTGTTTCACTCACTCACATGTCCTTAGGCAGTTGCAAGTGCAGTAAAACTTGTATTATACTAAAAGAACCAGCCATCTGGTGTATAACATTTTTTGCTATCGCTGTTTGATGTTTGGGCGTGCTACAAATGCTGTTCAACTTTTCTCTTCCTCCCAGGAGAGTTTTGTGACTGATGTGAAGGCTCTCCTGCATGTCCTCTGGCTGTTTCTGCCTTTTCCCTTGTTCTGGGCCTTGTTTGACCAGCAGGTGGGTGCAGCTGCAGCTATTGTTTTTATGATGATAGTGATAATTCTGTACATATATCTCACACTCATACATGCTCATACAGTCGAGCATACAGGCATCGAAATCGTTGAGACACAGAAATCTTTATTTGTCTACGAATTTCACTATGTAAGTGATTTTAAATACAAAGGATGTATAATATGTGTGTGCTCGACTGTATCTCCTCATACAGCCATTATTTGAAGGCTGTGGTGCTGCAGTTGACTATAAAGTTACAGTATGAATCCAAGCAAGCAGACTGGCATCTGTGGTTTAGTAGTTATGTGCTTGGCTTTCGCACACAGGAAACCCAAGTCCCAAATTCGATTCCCAAGTGCTGAGGAAATTTTTATCGAGTATCTCGGTCTTTCTGATGGAATGTTGTATTCCTCTCAGCCATGGTTCCATGGTTGGCCCTGACATGCATGATTGGAAGCCCACTTTGTAAATGATCTAAATTTTTTTTTCAATGAACCGAAAAAATAAATAATATGAGCAGTCTAAATATTTGATGCATTTTACTTCTTTAATGCAATGTTCATACAGACATCATTATGATAGAAACTGTTTCTCTTCTCAGGGCTCACGATGGACACTACAAGCAGTGGACATGAATGGGCAAATAGTGAGTGTTTTGTTTCTTGATGTAGCTGAAGAAATCATCAACTTACTCACTGCCTTGCCTAAGGCTATCCTTTGTGAACAGGATAAGTTAGCTGTACTAGCTTTGTAGAGGTCATGCTAATATACTTGAAACAGTGGGTGGTTGGTGAGCGGTCTTGTTTGCTTTGCTTCTTCTTTCCATCAAACATCTATCGTTCTTATATCTCCGTCTTCTCTTCTTCCTGTGTTACTCTCTTTTTACACCTCTAATCTTCTGCACTTGTATGACCTAATTATGTTTTAAGTGCCATAAAACTCTTTCTGAAACTAAAACTAAACACTTGAAACAGATGACAAAAGCAAACTTTTTAAATTTTATGAGTGAGACATTTGACTTGGTATGTACAGCCATGGTGAAGAGTCCATGTGCATCCAACATACAATTGCTCTCTCTGTGTGTAACACGAAGGACGTCATCTCAATATTCAACAAACCGCCATGTCCCATTACTTATTACTGTTTTTGTAGTCGACAGACAGACCCTGCAAGGGGGCTCTCGTGGCACAGAGGTTAAAGTGGTCGCCTCTCATTCAAAGGTCCCGGGTTCGAATCCGGGTAGCGACAAAAATTAAAATTTTCTTCTCTATAATTGTCTCCTTTCACCTCCTTTCTTGCTCTCTAGCTATGTTCTGTCATATGCTTTCATCTCCACTTTCTGCCCCCATCCCCTCGCCTCCTCTGCCCCCTCCTCTGGGCTCCTGACTTCCTGCAGCCTTTCTACTGCTTCTCCTTGGCTCCTTCTTACTTCTGTCTTTCAGCCACACCCCTGATCTTCTGGTAGGAAAGATCTACACCTAGCCTTCTCGGACAAGGATGAAAAATCTTGGAGTTGCGCACGTTTAAGATCCCTTACTGGTCTAAAATCGATAAGAGTAGGCTTCGGCCGCCACCCCGGCACAATTTGAAAATTTCGTACCAACTGAAAATATTTGCTGTGTCCCGTGCGCTCATATGACCTTATGCAGTTGCGAGCGCTGTAAAACATTTACCGGTTAAAAAAAGACTTGGCAAAGAAAATAATTTCTGTAATATTGTTCAACAGACAATATTCTGTCTGAAGGAGGCTAGTTTGAATGTAAACAATCCTTATGTAAATTCCACTACCCTCTGTACTACATGTGACATCCTGGTATTCCATCGCTATCTCAGGAAAAATGTATAATTCACTTGAACCTCAGCTTTTTTAGTTCAGCAACCACTACTGCAAGTTGTTTAAGGGTATGTTAATATTGACTTTGGTTGACCCTGCTTTACACAGTGAACAAAAAAATTAGGGAGTTACTCGTTTTTCTTGTGACCCTATAATTTATGTTTTTGTAAAATTAAATGCGCTCGAATTGGTCTAAGATGCTACCCATTGTCGAGGAGAAGAAAAAATACCTTAGACAGGTGGTCCCCTTGGACAGTATCATTATGATACAGAAAAAATGCTAGGAGTGTGTGTGTATATGTGAGGTGGGGGGGGGGGGGAGTAGTGGTTGTATGACCAGGTGATTGTCTCTGACAGATGGCTATTAGAGCAGGTTTGACTGCATCATGACCCCAGCCTTCTGAGCCGGCATACTGAAGGTCAAATATTATAATAATAATAATAGATCGCATTTATATAGCGCTGTATACCATACTACTAGTATGAGCTCTGAGCGCTGTACACCATTCACATGATCATTCACACAAGAGAAAATATTTCACAGAAATAAAAAAAACTAGTTCAACCACATAAAGGAGAACTTTCACAACCATACATTTTAACTATACACGAAAGGGCAGCAGTAAAAAAAATATTTTATAAAACATGTCAGCACGTACTAACACACTGTATCTAAGAGTTAAACAAATGAGTCTTGAGCAATCTACCCAAACTATTTAGGCTATTGTTTTTAGTTCTTCTTTTCTTTCAACAGGACTTGTCTTTTCGGACAGTGTCATTATACAATAGAAAAAACACAAGGGCCGAAGCGAGACTTGTTTGTTTGTCCAGGTGATTGTCTTGGACAGGTGGTTGTTAGAGTTGGTTCGACTGTATCATGACGGCTCTCAAAACAGGGATACCAAATCTCAAATAATCCTTTACCCAGACTGTTCTGACTATTTTTTTTTTCTCTCCGCAGGGCTTCCTGGGTCGTGTGAAGCCAGACCAGGTGCATGTTCTGAACCCATTTCTCATTCTGGTCTTTATCCCATTATTCGATAGAGTTATCTACCCTCTGCTGGATCGTGTAGGCATTCCGAACAGGTCAGGCAGTGACACTGGATTTTTAAAAAGATTTTCTTTGCCCGCCTTGCTTCTTTAAAGTTATTTTTCCTGCTTACATTGGGCACTAGAGATAAGTTGTTTCATAGAAGAAACTGACTGTTTATTCAGTGCAGAAATGTATGCATTGACTCAAGTCAAGGTTGATATTATAGTAGGAGGAGGAGGGGTAGATGGTTTTATCTGTTTACTTATACTGCGATATGTGGCACAAGGCGAAGAATAAGGCGCTTGTCAATTTTTAGGCATGTGAAGTTATTGGTACCATCTTAAAGTGTGTTTATTTTTTCTAACTTTTGTGGAAAAAATATCCATTTATCTTGAATAGAGCTGGAAGTATTTACAATTAAAGGTGGGAGGTAACCTGGTTTCAGAGGTAAAATTAGTGAGAAAATGACTGCCAAAGTCTGGTGACTTCCAAAGCTTGAGAGTCTTTGGGAACAGCAAATGTACATTTGATTTCACCACGCTGCCTCACATATAATTATTGTTGGTGATACATGAAGTTGCCATATGATTGGAGAGGGAGACTTAATTTGTCTGTTCTATCCAGATATGCACTTGTTGAGGCTTATCGAGTTCGCCATTACGGTATAGTCAAGAGGGGCAGGTGGCAGCCAGTTTTGGGAGTCAGGGTTGTACTTTTTATTTCCAATTTTAAGGACTCCTGACATTTGACATCATACTTTTTATAATGGTTTTTTTGTTGTTTTGTTTACAATTCCTTTATAGACCTCTTCAGCGGATGTCTATGGGCATGATCATGGGCTGTACGGCCTTCGTCATTGCTGGATTTTTGCAGATCAAAATGGAAGTAAGTAATAGGGACGAACATTCTTTCTGAGTGGTCAAGTTGAAATCCACAGCAAGGATTGGTAGAAGATTCAAAAGTTTCATATGCACTTGAAGATAAAGATGAGTTGGCTTGGTAGGGTTGGCTGCTTGGAAAAAATCTAAAAGTTAATACTTATCCAAAACAGAAGGAACTTTTTTCCGTTAAGTTGTTTTAGTTAGAAAGCTCTGCCCCTTGCAAGGAATAAAGGCATTTTATGTAAGATGAGGTGAGATGACAGTTGGTGAACATATCATCTTTGTTGATCCTTGAGATCTCAAGAGGGAGTGCAGATGAAGAAGGAGAAACACAGTTCTTATCTGCTAGTTCTAAATTTTGAATCATATTGTCTGTCTCTTGGCACTATAGCCTGACATAAGCCTCATTTATTAATTTTAGTATCCTATGCCTAAAATGCTAAGCGCTAACGGCCTGACTATAGTGGGCCAAAAGTTTGTTGGTAAACATGAAGTGCATCATTGACTGAGCAGCACGTGGAATAGATCTATAGCTTCTTCCACAACACTTTATGTGGGACGACAGAGGATATTAAGTGCTGGAGAAGTTTTCGCTTAAGTTATACTACATTGCGGAGGAGAATATTTCTTATAAAGTTTTATGTTTTGCAACTCCCCAGGCGTTACATGAACCCACTTTGAATGGCCAGAGCGGAGTGACTCTCCTGAACACAGCTGACTGTGCTGTCAATGTGAAGGCACCATTTTTCTCAGGCTCTGTAGCGTCCGGTGCGGTAGGGAGAATTTCTTAAGTCTTTGCCTTCATAGATTTTAATTTTATGTTTATGTGTGTTGTAGCCTTGAAGTAGCTTCTCTATCTGTATCTTTTACCAAAGGAATGACTACTTTTTGTTTTAGTAGGGGTTTTACGGCTCTCGCAACTGCATAAGGTCATAGGAATGACTGCATCATATATGCAGGTATGTTCATGTCTGTACAGTACTGGGTATGTGTCAGATACTGGGAGCAAGAGATTGAGGTATAGAGAGCAGAAGTGAGAAGGAGTATTGCTGACAGGTCTTTCCACTTTGTATTTTTACTGTAGCGATTCTTCTATCTTTTTTGTCTGAGTCATTAGCTACACCAAACATTGCTGGGGAGAATAATAGAATTCTCTCTTACTGTTATTTTTAATTCTTGTGAAGTGTTGTGAGTCTTCAAGTGAAGGGGATGCAAGACAGTGGTCAGTGATGTATTGCGTTGGTATACATGCTTTACTTTTACTTTACCGATCCAGCGGCCATCAGAGTTCTAGACTAGCCCTTCACCCTGTCAATATGGCAAAGAATTAACCGGTTTTTATCAGCTGTGAATTGTGTACGTCATAGTCACTAATTTTTTCACATTTTCTTGTTTGGTTCATAAATCCTAATGAGGCATAAACTTGAGGAACACTGAAAGGTTTTACAATAATCATTTTCTTTGTTATTTCACAGCGATCAGAGTACCTGACAATACAGCCTGGCCTATACTCTGTGGCCTTCAGTTGTGATGGTCATAATTCTGCGAAAAGGACATCACGGAAGTCAACTTCAGAACAGAAAGAGCCAAGCCATCCTTCATTATCATCAAACATAACAGTTGAATTAAAAGGAGATAAATCATATCGGCTTGTTTTACACAGGAGAAATTCGGAGTTAGTTTTGGTCAAGGTAGGTTGTTCATTGAGAGCAGCGTCAAGACATTATGGACCCTAGTTATAAAACTCTTTAGGGAACATCCTCAAACTTGAATCGAAGAAATGTTAGTTGGTGGCTGGCGGGTGCTCTGGTGTGGTTTCCTCCTTTTTTCTTATCAAACATCGATCATCCTTATCTCTCCTCTTTTTTTTCTTTGTATGTCACTTTTCTCAAGAAGCAACTCTATAATCCCTGGCTCTTACACGACTTATATCTGTGTTGAACGTGCTATAAGATTCTTATAAAAATTAAGAGAAGTGTTTCAGGAAATCTCCTTGACCTTAATAAAACGATTGTAATTGTTTCTGGAATGTCTGTATTCAGTCTTTCTGTAATTCATTTTTATGATTGGAATTGGGCTATACGTATGTTTGTTTCAGGTTCTCTATTGTATTAGGAAAGTCATTTTTAAACAATAGTATTCTTTTTGTTTTTGATTTTAAGAAGTTCTTGTTCTTCAGTACAAAGTGTATTTTCTCTTCATATGCATGGAGTTCCTGTACTGTAAAAGAAAGAAAGAGGAGTTTGTTCAGAAGAAAACAAAAAAAACCAAAACCTGAGTTATAATTTGAATTTGCTGAGTTTGAATTTTTTCTTCTGTCCCTGTCAGTTGAATGATCTGAGGGAAAAAGACAGGAGCAGCCAGGCCATGGTGAGGTGAGTGTGTTCCTGTTTTGTCTCTGTTTCTGTAAGTTGTGGTTCTGTTTTATAGCGAGATGGGAAGTTTGTCTGACAGGTTTTTTTTTTATTGTGTCTGCATGACCATGCTTTCTGTCTGTCTCTCTCTGTTTGTTTCTGTATCTGTCTGTCTGTCTGTCTCTCTCTCTCTCTCTCTCTCTCTCTGTCTCTCTGTCTCTGTCTGTCTGTGTCTCTCTCTCTTTCTCTCTCTCTCTCTCTCTCT